ATTTTAGTTTAAGTGGTAAATTCTTCCTTACTTTCTTCAATACATGTAACGATTAAACTAAACGGTACTGGTTGCTATTTTAAATTAAAAAATAATTCATAATGCGTGCGATATCAATATAGTCCACGAAAAAAAAAACATGCACAACACCAAGCATTAAATAGAAAATATTGAAAAAACAACTAGAAAACAAAGCACGATCCAAATGAGCATTAAACTGACTATAGCTATTGCTACACGCCTATTAGTTCTCATCACTGAGTCTGCGAAACATAAGATTTCTATTAAATAGAAATTAGTTATTTAGAAAATGGTAGTCAGAACTGCACGAAATCCTTTATCTCGAAGACGTAGCTCCCAAGTATCGAAGTTTACGATGAGATAGATCCTTCCTAACCTGTTGATATTACAGGAACTTTTCAAGTCACCATGAAGTCAGTCATTTTCTCGGCAACCTTTAAACCCACACATGTGCAATCATTTTAAATCTCGTTGTCAACCAGTAAAACGGCTTTCAACAATCAGTTGACCAGCAGCCATGTTGGTTGTTGAACGCCGCTATGTTTTCTTGGTTGGTTTGAAATGACAGATGTTATCGTTTGAAAACGAGATTTCAAATGACCGCATATTGAATGGCCCTTCTCAACTAACCAAAACTATATAGTTTTTTAAAAAATGTATTTTTTAACAGAATAATATGTTTTTCAGGACCCCTACGTAATCGACATCAAAATGGGAACCAGAACATTTTTGGAATCGGAAGTGGTGAAGACTGTACCCCGACCGGATTTGTATAAGAAAATGATGGCGATCGATCCGGCAGCACCGACCGAAGAAGAACACATGAACAAAGCGGTGACCAAACTGCGTTACATGCAGTTCCGCGAGCACCAGTCCTCGACTTGCAGCCACGGCTTCAGAATCGAAGCGATGAAGTGTAGGGGTTCGCCGCCAGTGACGGACTTGAAAAAGATGAAGTCCATAGATGACGTGGTGAACACGTTGGATTTGTTCCTCGGTGGGAGAGACGACGTGAGACAAAGACTAGTTGCGAGACTGTGTGAAATCAGGAGCAAAATTGAGCAGTCCGACTATTTCAAAACGAGAGAGGTGGTCGGCAGTAGTCTGTTCATTGTCTACGACGAGACGAAAGTGGGGATTTGGCTGATTGACTTTGCCAAAACCAACAAATTGCCCGACGGAAGGACTGTAAATCACAGAAGTGCCTGGGTTCAGGGGAACTATGAAGAAGGACTTTTGTTTGGATTTGACCACCTTATCAATGTGAGTATGTTTTATTTAGTCGGTGCACAAAACGGTTTGAACATTTATTGAATCTGAATTTATAGCGAAAATCGATAAAAATAATGTGGCGTTTTTGTAAAAACTAGTAATCTGTTGTTTCACTCTATCCGTTTTTGTTTCTTGCTCAAGACCTGAAAATAAGCCCTATTATTCAGTCAACTGACCATTTTGACAAGTTGCAATTCAACGTCATCTCGAAAACGCCTCTTATGCCTTTCTCTCACAAATGGTGTACATAAGGACTCTCTTTTGTTGGTCAAGCATAAATTTTTAAAACAAATAGCTTACAAATGACACATTCTGGACAATTAAGATAAAAGTAAAGTCACTTTCTATTCTGAATATGGGTCTTATGAAGAGAATACCTAATAACATTCTACACGCAAAAGCTGCTTTCCTTGGAAACCTTAATAAAATTAACCTCAATATTATCCATTACACACCACAACCAAGACTCTAAGTTAAACTTTTTTTTAACTTTATCTGGAATCAAATCTTAATTCTTAATTTTCAACACTTTTTCGACTCTAATTTATAACGCTTGGCTTTTAGTTTTACTTTAATAGATAGTATATTAATACTTGCAATTATAAAACCTTATACCATTTTCATACTAATATTCTTTTTATACCTTTACTACAACTGAGCCATAATTTTCAAAACTTTGGACAATAATAATCAAATAGTAGTAGTTTTCTTCTCTTTAAATAGCAAACAAACAAATCCACATGACTAAAATCCTAATGAAATTAACCACCTTTCTGAATATTTTTGAGCAATCACTTTTATACTTTCAACATTTCTTCTTAATCTTAACATTTTTTTCATAGTGGATTTAAAAGTTCTACTCAGAATAAGCAAGGCCTCTATATTATATCTAGTAGCCATAGGCTTGTGATTCGACCGCCCTTTATTTTTAGCTTTGGTTAGAAATACGTTGCTTTGCTTGTTGCAGATTATTGAAGGTCTAAAACGCCCTTGCGGCGATAGCCGAGGCGATTCAATCAAGAAGCCCGTCCCAACAGTGAGCGTGAAGACCTGAAAATTCGCGACGAGCGTTAAGCGTAAAGCAGATAAAGATGCTTGAAGCACTCCGAAGCGGGTCTGAAAGATTGCGATGAGATTATCTGCCCCGGATCGCGTCATATCCCGTGCTGCAGCATTTGCTTGTTGTGTATCCCGGATCGGGCCGCTGTATTTTAAAAGTATTATAAGTTACGTCGAACGCCATTCTTGTGGAACAAGTCGAAAGTGAACGTCTTCGTCGGACTGCCGGGTGCGACCACTGCGGCAACGGCCGAAATTGTGAAAACAAAACGGTACGCACTTTTGTTGCGATAGACTTAATTGATTTCTTCTAGTCAATATTTCTTAATATTATATTTATGAACGTAAAGCGACGTGCGAGAATGTTACCAGTTACGTGGAACTACTGTAAATATTGTAATTATGAATTTTTGTATTAAATTATGACGATTTTTTCATTATGTACTTATCAGAAATTAAAGATAATGACATTTAAGTTTGGTGGTTTTATTAGCTAATTCCGCAACAACTCGGGATAGTTAACACTTAATCCATAAGAAAACTCTTAGTTTTCTCCACCAACAAACAAATTTGGAAATTAAAGAATTTTGTCATCAATCACAAATTCTATTTTAATTTCAAAACATGTAACATGTAATTAAAAACGGTTTGGTAATATATCTTTCACAAGTTTGTGGAGAAGACTCAGTGTTTTCTTTTGGCTTATCCTTACGCCCCGCTGTGTTAAAATGGACTATTTTTTTCAGTAAACAATTACTGGAAAAGTTACTCTTAAGTGTCTACATCAAAAGAAGTTAAACAGCCGAACCTAACACACAACTAACCATTCTATTGATGGAAAAGATGTTATTCAATATGTTAACAAATTGACGTTACATTGTTGTTGCGTTCGTACTATGTATGTGAATATTTCCAAAATAAGGCGCTTTAGACCAGGCTTGGAAACATTTAAAAAAAAAAGTCAAAAAGCGTTCCGCCTAGCGGTTTAAAGTATAGGAGGTAATTTATAACCAAATGTTTCATAAAAGATTTAAATATAGTGTGACCATCGATCTCGGCTAACGCATCTTAACATTGGTTAAAACATTTTAATGGAAAAAAAATGAAACCTGAACTACTCTGCTCTTTACTTTTTGAATGCTAGTAAACTGAAAACTCCGTTGAAAAGATAAAGGACCTAAATGGTAACATTATACCAATAACAAGTTACTTCAGCTTTATCAATTTATTATTACGCAAAAGCCATATTTACCGGAAAGATATAATAAATAAAATAATATCATAATCCAATTAAGTTTCATAATCACATATAAAAGCAACACGGTGCAAGTATACGAAAATTTTTAAGGTTTGTGTTGATTTATTGTGGACGTCGTGATTTTTGCTTTGCTAAATAAAAAAAGAGGTAGGTACCATTTTCTCAAAAAGAATTTAACGAAAAAGAATCGAATTTACCCCAGCTTTGAAACGGTGTCAATTTTATATATACGTAATATAAGATTATTTCTCAAAAAACGGGATTTCAAATTCGAGAATATGAATACACTGCCTGGTGACCATTCTACAAGCTTAAAAATAATCGTATTACTGTTATTATTTAATTTGAGTACCCCCAGTGTATTTAAATCACGACCGCATAAATTGTCTTTTATATGTATTATGTTTTTACTTTACAAATACACTTTTATAATTGTAACACTAATAAATTCCCTATTTGACAATTTTATTCGGTGGCATTTTATCTGGGCCCCTTTAAATAGTACCAATACCAGTAATATTTCAGTTTGCCAAACTAATTTTCTTCCTATAATTTTTCACCTACAAAAGTGAAACAAACTCTAATAATGAAAAGATCTAAGTTGTGTAATTTTCAGGAATACACAAATACTTAACAACTTGACTACCTGATAGCGCAATCCGGTATATACATATATTTTCGTAGAAAAGGGAATTATTTTCGGCGCAATTTTTTTAATTTGGCACTAACCTGCATTTTCTGAACAGCGATCTCCAGTCGGGATATTTTGAGAACAGTGCTAAATCTCAATTGAGATCTGTTAAATTGACACACTGTCAGCGGTCATATTGGTTGCTGAACGCCCCCGTTATTGAGGGGCGCCAACCACACACGTCAAATGTTACTATTAAAAGTACGCAAAATATTCAAACAGAAGCGTCTACTACCATAGATATATAATCATTATAATATATAGATAAATAATTAAGTATATCTATTATGTAGTCTGTCCCTTGCCTGCCGGCAAACTCCCGAATTTTTACGAATAGTGCCTCTAAATTTTACATTCCCAATTTTTTTCGGTTAGTGTTGGTTACTTTTGGTTTTGAAGGACCTGTTAAAGATAAGTGCCGGAGACTATTGTTTAATGATTTCAATTCGAGTGCCAAGTTCACCGCTGGCGACATGTTAGTCAAATAAATGGACCACAGACCATAAAATTAAAAAAAAAATAGTTTACATGTATTACGCTTTCTATTCGTTGAAAACGAGATTTGCGGATATTGAATGATATTGAATGAACTTCATGAATTCTTGAACCAACTTTATGAAGAAATTGTGAGTGTAAAAATAGTATGAGATGTATTTATGATCCTACATAAGTCAACAAGGGATAAAATAAAACACCCGATTCATTCAAATATTTTTAATTGCAGTATACGCATTAAGTAGACATTTTAATAAATAAATTACTATAAATAAATAATGCCGCAACAATATATTACACTAATACAATGACTGGGCTAAATGAATGACGAAAATATTGAAGGATTGGAATGATCAAGTGCCTAATATCAATAGTTTAAAAAATCTGAGTATCAACAATTTCTTATAATAACTAAAAAATAATTTCAGTTATAAACTTCTTTTGTGTCTATAAAATTCGGCTCTTCCGAATTAGATATTTAAATTAATTTGTAACAGCAATTACCACTTGTAGCAAACTATGCGTGGTGTGTATACAGAAAATTTTCTAAGATGGCCGTATAGAGTGATTGAAATTGATGTCCTATTTTATAGAATTAAAAAACGGAGCCCAAATAAATTTAATTTGCCAAATTTAATTAAAATCTACGCGACACCGACGGCAAAATTGACATTTAAAATGGTTTTAAAACAAAAATGGGTAGGGGATGAAAATATTCTAGAAAAGTATTGACACACAAATGTATCTAACAAAAAAAAAGTAGTTTTCGATTCTTATATTGGTCTATTTTGGTTATATTTTTTTAAATTCAAAATTTCGGACCCAATGTATTATTTATAATTAAATTTTAATAATCGGTTATATATGCACTCAGCACTTTTATATCCTCAATACCTTTTCATAGGACCCTCAACATGAATCACCCTGTACGTGCCCAAACATTTCCCTATATTAAATGATTTTTGGAGATGTATAAGTGATGATACGGTACGAAACGTCAACGATTTTGTTGATATAGGTACCGAGAATTGGGTGCGATGTAGTCAAAAAGTAAATAATGCTGATGGCGTAGATATTTCTACTTTTTCGTAGACTCACTGATATTGGGTTTATCAACTATAATGCAATAAGCAGAAAGAACTCGAATTCACCATGTTCTCTGTTACACAAAATACTAACAAAGGCAGAAAGTGCTACTCTCCGTCAACACACATTACATTAATACAAAAAACTGGGATTGAGATTTACGACTGGAACTGTTTGATCTAACCGCAACAGTGGCAAAACGGAAAGCGGTCATTTTTGTCTTCATTAATTTTGTGATTTATTCTAATGATGAAAAATAAGTGTTAAGTGGCAATAGACTGAGAAATGCCCAGAATGTCTTAAATACGCACAGAATATGCGAATTTATCTTTTTGTAAAATCTATATTTATTGCACATTTTGTAAAGCAATGAGCTAAACGACAACAAATACGATATTAAATTGTTTGCACTTTTAATTGCTGTCCGCACGGGTCCGTTAAGGAGATTTTGATGAACGTACAGGAGAAGTACTTGGTGATCGACTTGTTGCACTTACAGAATGACTCAACGACCGCCTTCGGTAGTATGGACTACCGCTGCTATAGCTGCTGTCACTTGACGGCGAAGAGGGTGAAGGTCTTGTGTAAGGAATAGGTCGTTTTCTGGCGCTATGTTAGTAAAATTAGTGTTAAAGTTAGTGGGTATTAGTACAGGATTTGCATGCAGTAAGCTTGTTTTATCTCAGAATATTATGGCCGCATAATGCGGTTAATGCTGCATAAAAATGGTTTCCAATCAAATATGGCACTCCCTTATCTCTCCCCAATCTAAACCAACCTTTTTTGCAGCTCTGAGCAAACGTTATGTGATAAAATAATCATGCAACTTACCTGGACATTCGCTAGTTTTATATGATCTAGTAAACAATATAAAATGAAATAAATAAAACTAAAAATGTGAATATAACTAACATTTATTTTACAACGGTCTAGCTAATCTTACACTAAATTATACAAAGGTTTTTATGACCGAAATACAACCAAAATTGAAAAAAAAAAGAAAAGAATGATACTGTATAAATAAAAGAAAATCCTCAAAAATTACTTGCGTCTGAAAATAAAAAAAAAGCAAATAAAATAAGGAAAAACCACTAACTAGGTGCGCTCCTGAGCAACATTTACCTCGTTATCCTTCTGCGGGAAAGGAAGCTGGGGGACCCATGACGTCGCGGAATTGAAATGGATCTGGATCGTCTAGATGAACCGCTTGATGAATACGAGCTGCTCGAGTAACTGGACCTGCTTCGATCCCTAGATCTCGACTTTGAACTTCTGCTTGAATCGCTGCTAGAGGAAGATGAACTTCTGCTATGTTTTTCACTGAAACACCAAACAATTAATGTACTTGATTGGGATTAAAGAGATTCCCTTTAATAATTTCACTCTCTGAACTTTTAAGCTACTTAGAAGAATTAACAAAATTTGTTAGAGAAATGTTATTGAAGGCATTAAACCAAAGTCATGGAATCATTCGATTAAATGCGCATCATAAATTGTTACCTAGAATCAAAATTAATAAGCAATGCATTTAGAAGTATCTGAAGAATAACAATGACTTTGGAACTAACATATCAACCATTGACGCAAATTTCATAACACGTTAGAGCAAAACAACATAGCCATAGCAACTGAAAAAACCAAAAACAACAACATACAATAGGATACATTTTCAAGCTGTTATGTTTATGGGCGCCTGAGTTTCTGGATTGCTACAAAACATGACAAGAAGATATAAATATATCAATGTAGACACAACAAAGGTAGAAAATTATAAAACAATGATGAGACGCATAATGGCATATTGGATAGAAACTCTGTACAACTATACAGTTGAAATGAACGCGTTAGGAGAGCTACAGTTTGGAAAGGCTCAAGTAGCACGGAGAAAATTCAATTAAACGACAACATACTCTAAAGTAACTGACATCACGAAATTCATAACACCAAGAAGATATTAGAATTAACCTGTAACAAGAACTAATAAATATAGCCCCCAGGAATATATAGATACAAACTTGGCTATCTTTTTTGCCAAGAAAGGTTAATAAATAGTAACAACTTTTAGATAATACGATTATTTCTAACAATGAATTAATTAATAACGTTCATAACCAAACCTTACTCAGGTACTTATTCAACTAACAACTAACCAACAGATGGATGAAATTTAGTAGTTATGAAAGGAAAGAGAAAGCTATAGGACCCTAAATTTTATAAGTAGACTTTAAATCCTTTACGTTTTCCAAATTAAGTCACAAGTGTTCTTTATTTCTTTGACAACACCGGTAAAATTTGATTAAAAAGGTTATTCTATAATTACTTATAATCCTAAAGGATATTTTTTTTGTATTATAAGGTTAAAAAAAGTTCAGTACAAGAAAGGGTGTAAGACAGGGATGTGCTGTACTCATCTGCTCATTTACGGCGAATGGACTGTAATCCATTCGCCAAGGCTACAGAGGATTGGAATAGAGGAGATAGATCGGTGTTAGAATGTCAAATTAAGATCTTCCAACGATTCCGGCACACACGGAGGGGGAAATGGAATTACGCCTTCAGTAGTAGAGCATTTTAGCAGATAAGGTGGAGTTAAATTAAATATAAAGAAATGCTTTTTGTTGGTCGTCGATAGAGTCAATGTGCTGCCAAAGAAAGGAAAAACAATATACTAGTATTTCGAACATTGGAGGCAGCATAGAAAGACATTAAACAGAGAATCGGAATGCAAAATCGGCCGCAAAAAAAAGCTAGTAAAGATTTACATATCAGGAAAGAAACAAAAATTCGGTTGATGTAGGCGTTCACATTTCCGATTGCCATCTACAGATCAGAATCATGTACATTAAACGCAGCATGCCGCAGGAGGGTTGATGCTTTCGTGAGAGTGATTGGGGGGGGGGGGCGAAAAGAGAAAGGGGGAATGAGAGAGGGGGAGAAGAGAGATAGGGAAAGAGAGAGAGGGGGGAAAGAGAGAGAGAAAGAAGTTGTAATTTTTTCTTCAATTCAAAGATATAATCAAAGACGGCGGCCAGCATAAACAAACATGTTTGGTTCCCATGCACGAACGAATTTGGTTCTATTGATCATGCTCTACACTTGAAAATGTCAAAACTTCGACATTTCCAAGCATAGAACGTGTTTCCCTGAACCAAATGATGGAAAATCCATTTTATCGCCACAATTATAGCACCCAAATCAATCATTAAACTCTTTCTGTCTGACTAAAATAAACAAAAATATTTATTTTTTATTTTTCAAATAAATTAATAGAATAATTTTAAACTTCAGATTTAAAAAGATTTTAATTTTAAACTCTCAATTTAACTTGCAAAAAAAGAGACCCCTAATGTTTTTTTACAGAACCAACTATCATTTAATGTTTGATCGATCATGAAATATTATTTTAAATTGTTTATTTCATATTCTAAACTGTTATAACAGTCATAAGATTCGATTTTTATACTTGAGAGACTCTACCCCGTAAGCTGGAAACAATGACATATCCCAACATATAAGCCTAGAATCACTTTACCCTTCCACAATAATAAAAGATCAGTTTTGCATACATAACTAAATCCAAATACCTTCCACTTGAATGCGAAGATCCTTTGCTGTGAGACCTGGACTTTCTACTTTTGAATAGCGACTTTTCTATCCTAGAAGTTAATCTGGTCTGAATCGCTTTCGCCTTATCTGGGATGTCAAAGTCGTCCTTATTAATTCTTGGCGAATTTGCGACTTCAGTCCTCAAAGGCAAAACTTTGATATCAAACAAGTCTGGCTGAATCGTTTTGACGGGAGTGTTTGGTCTCTCTTTCTTTTTCTCGAGACTCTCCTTCGCTTTGGCAGCCAAACCAGATTTCAAAAGACGCAGCATTTTCAAGTCCTTGTCTTCCACCTCTTCCTCTTTCTCGTAGCTATAGTCGGACTGTTCCGATTCACTAGACGACGGCCGTAACTTAACGACGGGCTGCGGCTTTTTTGATTTGGGCGACCTTTCACGCGTTCTGTCCTTCTTCTTGGATTTCGCGACTTCGGGCGAAGTAGACTTAGATTGCCTTCTACGCGGGCTCTTCGACGCATCATTCTTGCCAGAGGATTTCCTTTCGCTGCTAGAACTTGCTCCGCGTGATTTTTTTAAACTAACCGGTGACTTTGACCCGCTACTCCTGGACTTGCGCTTTTCCTTCATTTTTTCCCGCGATTTTTTCAGTTTCTCGTACTCGTCCTTTGCCCGACGCAACTGTTCCAACTCCAGCTTCGCGTTTCTCAATTTTTCCAGATGTTCTCTCGACGCCTTTAACTCCTCTAATTTTTTCGCACGTTTCAGATTTTCCAAATACTCATTTTGCGCGTTGGCTTTGCCGATCTCAGCTTCTCTTTTCTCCAATTTATCGCTCTTTACGGGATTTTGATTGTTTTTAGTTGGCGACTCGGGTTTGGCAGATTTCATCCTAAAGGTTTCATTTGGTGACGGGCTTCTACTGGGTGATTCCTTTTTGGACCGACGCTTCTTGTCTTTAGATCGGCTTCTGCTCCCCGACTGTTTGCTACTTTTGTCGCGGTCCCCCGAGACAGACCTCTGCTTAACTAAAGTCTTTTTTACAACCGGCGATTGACTCCTACTCAACGACTTTCTGTTTTTGTACTTTCCGTTTGGTGATGGACTTTTGCTACTTTGATCTCTCGATCTACTCCTGTGCTTTTTATGTTTCTTGTCTAAAGATTTATTTCTGACGTTCTTGTTGCTTTTACTGTAAGACGGACTCCTGCTGGGAGTTCTTCTAGTTTTTTTTACTTGTTTCCGATCTGCCGAAAGACTTCTACTGCGGGAACGATGCTTCCTGTTGTTTCTAAGATCGGGAGACCGGCTTCTACTCGACGAAGTTTTCCTTTTCCCTTTAGATTTCCTCTCTTGTGACTTGGTTTCATCGTTGGCGTTTTTTTTAATTTTCAAACCGGGTTTCCTCTCAGGCGATTGACTTCTATTAGCCGACCTGCACCTTTTTGTCGTATCTTTTCGTTTCTCGTTGGATCTATCTCGAGATTTTTTCCGGTTCTGAGGTGAGTGCGATCGAGATCGCTTAGACTTTTTATAATCGCGAGAAGAGGATCTTCGGCATTTTCTGTCCCTATCGCCTGACGGTGACCTTTTCCTAGACTTGGGTGATTTCGATCTTTCCGTACGTTTCTTGGATTTATCACCTTCGTATTTCTTGTCTGTTATTTCGGTCTCGTCCTTATCGCGACGTTTCCGTCTGCTTGGAGACTTGGTCTTTTCTCTCTTCCCTCGATGTCTGTCGTTGGATGACGAAACCGAATCCGCGGACAAATCCCTTTTCTTCCTTGACTCTTTTGATTTTTCCCTGCTTTTTTTCTGAGTTGAATGATTATTATCTAGATGTTTGTGATTTTTAGTTACTCTGGGTCTTTTCACTTCCGGTGAACTGGAACAAAAATAATTATTATAATAATTGAAATATTCAACATGTGTAAATAAAATATGAGCTTCAGCTATTTCACTTTCGAAAGAATTTTCGTTATAAAATCCTCCATTTCTAACCTTAGAAGACTACTTATATCTCAAACTGATGTCTACTATAATGGTAATTTTCGCGATATCTCCAATTATAGTATGGCTCGCCAGTACCATCTGTTAATGAACTCGAGTTTCTTAAACCTCAGTCTGTTATTGATGCATAACTGTTGAAATCGACATTAAAGAGTACGAATCTGATTAACATATTAAGAGAAATCAGAACCACTGCCATATATCGATATATATAATTATGATGAAGTAAATAACGTATTTCTACCAAAACAGAGCGTAAAGTACACTACCACACGTGTGCTGCGGAACAGGGTGTATATATCGCATTGAACTTCCTTAACTTTTAAAATCACGTCATTTTGTAGATAATGTTATAAACTACAATTTATGTCCGAGACAATTTTATTACACAGCTTATGGTAATCGAGAAAAATTCGGACGGTGATTTTTGGCACATTGTTTCTATTGATGTACCCACCAAAATTCAGTTCTGTCGGAATTTTTATTTGATTACTATTTCTATTTCTAATTTCGCCTGATCATTTACTAACATATCGGCACTGGCAGATGCGAACCATGGCTGGCATTTAGATAGGGCATAAGGAGAAGTGGCATTCCCAAGTGTAAATTGATCTGGGAATGAAGTAACCAAGGCTCAGAGAAAGGCAGGATCTTTCAATGTTGGAACCGGAAGTCAAAAGGTAAGCCATAATAAAAGTTAATTCAGAGGAAACTCGCTATCCGAAGTTGTTAACGAATGGAATGGACGGTCGAGACCCAATGAAAGCTTGCAAGTCGTTTGAATGTCACATCCTTAAATCTGTTTGTTGGATATCCGCCCGTCTGGATTTTATAACATCAATTATAATTATAATTTCGGTTTTGAATATATACTCAAGCCAATTTATGGAGTGAACAATATGAGTTGTTCAAAAATATTCAAATGAATTTGATAAGTAAAACAGATTTCAAAAAACTGACAGATGCATCACTGCTGGTACAAAGTTATTCACAAAGTTTTGTTGCCAAAGCAATAATGTTCCTAATTTAGCTTTAATATTTTTGTTTGCAGGTTAGCAATTCTTTTGAAATATCGTGCTGTTTCTATTTACTATTTCAAATATGCGATAGTAAAAATTTTGTTTATTCCTTAAAAATATCACCGCTCTATATTCAAGTCACAAAGTGTTTAGTTCAATCAAATAATATGTTCCACAGATTTTTATATACTAACCTTTCTCGAGAACTGTCAGACGAACTTTTTGGCTTCTTCTTTGATGGTTTCTTCTAGAGAATAACAAAACGGAAACATTAGTTACCAATCTGCTAATAACAATCAGAAACACACAGTGCCATCATAACCGTTTGAAAATACTCTACAAAAAATCCTATGTTAAACATTGTGTTGTACAATTCTAAAGAATAAATTGAATTCATTACATTCCAAAATATCTCGAAACAGAAAAAATTAGTTTCTATGATGACTTTTGATCATTGAAATTCGAAAATTTACAATACGTGGTAACGTGGCATATATTCAAAAAATATTTTGCATGCAAGTCGATGGTTCTATGAGGCCTTTGGACCAATACTTACAGAATAATGTAACCTGTGAGGCTATCCTATAATGATGCGCAAGGTTCAAAAAAACAATGTTTACTTATCTGAACAAAAATCTTGAAATCAAGCAAAATAAACAAATAATAGTAAATACGAATAAGGGAAAAGGCAGATTTATAAAAAAAAAACTACTTCAAAAATCTCCCCAGGAAAAAAAAAGCGGAATACATTGAAAACGTTTGTATTTATATACAAGAACGACAAATCTGCACCAATACAAACCTGGGTTCTTGAAATACTTCAATCAAAGCTATTAGTGTTTCCACGGCTAAGAAAATTTGCACGACATATAAAATACGAGCGTAAATAATAATAACTTATGATCAAGCCAAAATTAAATAAAAAGAGTGTGTCTCAGTCAAACACCTATGATGTATTATCGCGAACAATTCATAAATTTCTTCTTTTATACATCATGTATATAAGGCTCGGAACTTTCTTAGCATATTTCATATTTAATATCTTATACTGAAGTATCACTTTTTCAGACATCGTTTTAATTTTGTCCAAAATTACCTTTTTTCTCCCTTCTGTAAAATACCTAATTATACACCGACCTAGGGTGCGGAAGGCGTCACTTTACAACGTGAATTTCTAGTCCCACGGATATGAGCCCCTTCGGACATTTCCGGAATATTACAGCACGGGTTTGGGAGCCATCGGATGTTTCCGGAGATTTTGCTGCACGCCGTGAATTTTGACGTTTGACAATTCTGTGTTATTTTTAAAAAACGTACAAAAAAACTAACGGTTCTAAAAAAATAGTATGCAACACGTATGGTGAAATTTTTCTCCGCTCGTGCCAAATAAACTCGTGACACAAATGCCGTTTACCCAACTTGTTGCATAATATACTATTACAGGCTTAAATATATCTAGCAATTTTAAAAAATAGTACCGCTAGGTTTAGGCAATCAATTTAACATAAGTATTTTCTCCGTTATCTTTTTTTAAGAAAAAAGAAAAAAATAGCTGAGATCATTTTTTTGCATTAAAATAAAAATAACAACAAAAATTACTAATTACACTACAGCTTTTGTTTTTTTTTTTGTTTTGTTTGTTGTCGTCATAGCATGTGCACAATAGAAAAATGTTTTATTGCTAATATTTAGAATATTCCTTTTTTTTAATAGGCAGAGTTACACACAGCATTTCTACATAAAAAAAATCGCTATTAACGATTTTCATTTAAATATTTTAAATATCAATCCAACAAAATAGATTCCAAATATATAGCAAAGCCTTTCATTCGAATAAATCGATAGTTATAAGGTTGATTGTACATTTAAAGTGCTCCTATACTTTACTCCAATAAGTACGACACTGAGGAAAAAAATTAAATACAAAAAATGTTCGACCCTAAGTATTTATTTTATTTATAGTATTTTTATGTATACAGGGTGTTTATTTGTTAAATCGACTGCTATGAATAATCTTAAAAATTTTAATTATTCCCTTGATTTTGAATATTTTTGGTCATTACATAGAAAACGAAATTTTGAGTTTTTGAGAAATACTTGATAACTAAAATTGGAAATTTGTATTATGGGTCGATATAAGAGGTCAATATTTAATGCAATCTATTTATCTATGGCTAAAATATAATATACAAGGTGACCAGAAAATAAAATCAAAAAATGAGTTGTCTAATTTAAAAAAATGTTATTTAGCACTTTCGTTGAGTTTAGGATTTAATTCTGTATCATTTCATATAAATATAGCTTTTATTACAAAAATAGGAGCATCTCAAATGGGCCATCCTGCACCTAAGACGTAGAAGTAGCATAAATAGTGAAATTTATACAAATATAAATGGGACACCATGTATATTAACGCATTTTCCGATCCGCTAATACTTTATGATTGTTTTCAAATAACACCTTCCCTGTGTATGCATCTTCAGCGGTTTTCGAGAAAATCATTTTTCCAATCAAAACATAGATTAAATTAAATTTTATTAAATTTATTTTTATTAAAAGATTAATTATGCCAAAGTAAAACAGTTTTCAGAAAAACTTGATTTTATTTCAGAAACCAAAAGATTTAGGTATACGTACATGATACATTAATTATTCGAAAGGGTCAAAGTCGCCGGGTTGAAAACATTTTAGGTCGAGAGAGCTAACCAAATTTTCAGAACAATCCAATGTACCGCTCGCAGTAAACGTCTAAGGTATCATCAACTCTGAAACATCCTATACACGAAATATGTTTAGGAAATTCCGAGGAATTCAAAAATACCTAAATATACACAGGGTGTTCTATTTACAATATACCCGGTACAACAATGGATCAATCAATCGTCACGTGGGCAGTTGGCTCAATCAAGATTTAAACAAGACACTATTAACGCAAAAAAAAAATTAAAACCCTTAAATTTATATTTTAAAAATAAAGGAAATAATAACAAAGGATAGAATATCACACTGATAATTCGTGCCAATAAAAATAATAAATAAGTAAAAATGCAATAGCATGTTTTTATTTGTCTATTGGATTTTAGTCCTTAACTAAAATATTCTTCCTATCTTATCCTTCCAGTTACTGTCAAAATAAGTCGTGTCAACTATGTTAATAATAAATAATAAATAATAAAAACATCATCGTATCAACATCTTTTTGAGACCTGGCGTAGTGCAGAGACCCTTAAATGAATAAAAATTATGGAAAGTTTATGGCAAATTATTTTCTGTAACTTTTGTGAGGAAAATAATTATCTCTATACGTTTCTCCATAAAAAGATGTTTTCGGAGAAAACCACGGTTACATTTTTTTTTTTTGATATCGGAAAATAAATTTCCTTAGAATCGTGTCAGAAAAAACGATTTTGCTTTACAAATAACACACTTTTATGAAATTCAATAGCTTAGGTGTGGCAGTTTTGGTTAATAAACTTTAGTAACTGTAAATGAAAAAACATAATCTGATAGATAGCGCACTGCGCCCTCTACCGGCTCGCTACAATTACAAAATACAATTTATATAACGGTAAAGAAATCCTAATTTCATCAATGTCCCACCATCTACTATGCCAAATTTTAAAAAATGTCATATGTATGTTATAAAAGAACAAAAATATAGATAGTTCGTGCAATTTTTTATTACTTAGGGTAAATATTTTCCAATATTAACCATTTTCTGTGCAGCTCTACGTTCACTTTCCAGCATTTCCACAAATTTATCCTTTTTATATCACCAACCAGCTAAGGCATCTAACACAAAAAGAAGCAACCAAAAAAAAAACACAAAATTTTATTTTTCACTTTATAAAACGGCACGCCTCATCTACGACTTACCTCCTTCTTTTTCCCCTTTTTCTTCTTTTTCGACCCATCATCAGAATCGTCCTGGTCAGTACTAGAGTCAGCTTCATCTGACGATTCTTCCGCCTTATGCTTCTTTTTTTTCTTCTTCTCCTTCTTATTCGATCTGAACATGAAAGAAAAATATAGACTAAAATATTGATAGGCTAATTATTTGAACGATAATAGAAAAGAATTCAGAAATATGCACATTGACATTATGAGTAAATTGTGACATTAACACGCGTTTCTTACTATTAATTAATTAAGTAATAGTAATGCTTGTATACATTAACAATTAATTCGCATATTACTGTCCTAGAACTGGGCTTGAAAAAATAATACAAATTTTTCATTCGTTAATAAATTAGCGACATACGTTATTGAAAGCAGTGGCAAACGAACTCAAATTCTTGCGCTCCATTAATTCTTTGCGAAAATAATTCGTTAGCAATTGGCTAAACATGCATAATGTAAATGCGTATATTTATGAACGCGATGCTTCACAATTTGTCGCTTGGACTAGAATTATTAATGCTGAACGCACCTTCGATATCCATTAATGGAACCGGCTAAACATTTAAAAAGGACAAAAAAACGAGAATAAATTATCTTCAAAATATATAGTCATACCATACAGTTACCTGGTTACAGCCTTCATTACAGTTTTGTAAGGCAAAAAAATATACCACCAACGAATTAGTATTAGGAAAATATTTTTCTTTATTTATTTTTTTTTGGTCAAAATAAAATCAGCACTTATACACTAGTATAACGTTTCCACAAACAACAAATTTACTTACTTATCCTTTTTGCGACTTTTTTTCTTCTTTTTCTTTTTTGGATCCTCACTCGATAAACTAGGCATTAAAAAAGAAACCTATCATTCATCACATAATATAGACAACTATTGAAAAAAGTGAATTTACACTAGAACTAGAATCATGCTGAAAAACGTACTGCTTCTTTTATTATAATTTCAATGCGGTACCAATTGGAGTTTCTTTAGAAGAATACGAAAAAAAAACTGACATTCTCTAAAAAACGGACTAGAGCTCATAAAAAAGAAATAGCTCGAGATTTGTTGGTTTTGTTTCCGACTGAAAATCGAGTTCGCTAAGTTCTGGTTAAGTCGGAATGAGCTCAGCGCTGTTTAGCACCAGCACACGAAATTGTTTGATATGAAACATTAAACAAATGCAAATTTTACTAATGAGACTCACTGCAATCTTGATTTTAAAAACGAAAGCTAATTTTTACAGATCTTGCCTATAATATTTAGAATGAATTACTTTAAAAAAAGTAAAATTTGTCGTTTGTTTTTTCAATTTTGACACAAATTTTTGAAAGATTGGCAAAATATGGTGTCTATTGTCGTCTATGTATATCCCAAAGTGCAATTTTGATTTTGACTGCAAATTTGCTCTGAAATACACATCCCAATCGAGTTCGTTATGTTGTTTTGGATGAGATCTACTTGTTTGTTGTTTTACGGTTCTGGTTCTGTGTAATTAAGTACTTTAAACCATTCCTAGGTGAGACCAAAACAAACCAAGTTGTAAATTAATATACAATGAAGTCCAGGCTACTTCGAACACAATATCAACACTGTCACATAACAAACCGCCAAATAAAAAAAAGAGCTCACCTTGAGAGCATTTCATGCAGAACTGCTCAGATGTATTAGCCACAATGTGTTACAATAATAGTCACAATGTATATCCAAATTTTACATCTCCCAACAAATTTCAAACGTCTGTTTAACAATTGTACGTTGAAAAGAATATATTCTAAAATCAGCCTTTCCGGTGATTCCAAAATTTCACAACTCTTAAAAGAACATAGCTGACGTGAAAGTAAACTTTTAAATAAAAAAGAAAAACCGTATATCTAAGCTCGAATTATTATTTAGAAGTTTAAAAATTATTACAAAAAATCGGCTTATTGATTGTGTCCTTGTGGGAGTGTCCACGGCACTGAATGATTTCTTAAAAGCACAAAAAAAAACTGATCTATTGCAGTAGAGACAGTTTTGTTAGTTTATTTTTGAAATTTTTCCACAAAACCGAAATGTGAATGACAATGATACTCATAGTTTAACAGTATTTAACAAACTTCCGACAAAACATCCAAAGAGAGGTTTCTTTCTGTGTCTTTTTGTCTCTTTCGGTATCGCAGGCTCAAATCTCTAATAATTGCTTCTATTTTTATTTGTTGCATTTGTTTGTTTTACCGTAATGCTTTTATGGCGTTTTCCACATAGAAAAATAAGAAATTATTATTATTGTTATTAACATACTGGGTATTTTATGACAACGAATGGATGAGTATCAATGCTCTGAGTTGATACTGCTACCTAAACTTTTTCGGCGGCCAATAAGCTACGAGAAACGAGTAGTAATTCAATTAAATTTAAAAGTAGTATTTTCGTCAATTCTTTTACGAATTCCATTACATCCACCCCATCCATTTTATTGGTAATTAAATTCATTGGGAGATGTCTATCCTGGGTGGAGCAAATCAACACAACGTGTTGTAAACTAAGTTAAAAGTTTTTATACTACAAACTCTTTTGCCTTCGTATATTCTATAACATTTGTGTCGTGTTGTGTTTGTGTTGCACTGCAATTTTTTTCATATAAAACCTAGATACGAATACAAAAGAAACTTTACTACTCCAATTCTGAATCTACTGATTCTCGGTCTTGTTAAGGATATAATTTTAAATGAGTAACGCTTTTATCTGTTGCCTTCAAATTGTTATTCTGTATAAACAAAATAAGTACAACTTCACTCACCCACTTTTTATGTTCGTAGTAGCTTGGACATTGTACTACATCAGCAACTAAACCCAAAATCTAATAATTTCTAAGTAATTATTTTTATGATTGTTTAGCACATCATTATTGTTCAAAGTAATTTCAGATATTAATATTTTCGAAAATTGTAAATCTAACGCGTGTGCGACTATGTGTTCATTTTTACCACATACATGGCCTCTGGCGGCAAATGATATTACTTTTATCGAATCCACACTTCCCGAATGATGCAGATTTTGTAAGGCACATGCAGTAAACATGAACTATTCGTTTCTTTAGTATTAAAGAATATGTTCCTTAAATTTCAGCTTCGCTGTTAAGTACTGTTACTATTATAATTTTTACAAAACTTCTGGATTCCTCCTGCGTCGGTTTTTGCTGAGTCGAACTTGCTGACTGAGCTTGACTAAAACTGGCTTGCATTTTACTCTGTACCTACTTATATATTGTTTACCCCTTGTGGAAAAATCCCTCAAAGACAAAATTCCATTTGAGATGATAGGCGTTTTCAATATTCCATTCATATGCGACAAAGAATGCATTGGAGAGACCGGACGAAAAATATCAACTAGGCTCAAAGAACATGAAAGAGCCTTACGATTAGGACAAAACGGGACATAAAATTTTATTCGATAAAACTAAAATTCTTGCAATCTATTAACAACTTAAGAATCTTAACAGCGACTGTGGTCTCTACCTGTTACCAATATCGGAATCAGTCATCTGAGACGGTGTTTATGCCCCTCATTTAGCTCCATCCCCCTCAAACATATATAAGCAGGTACAGAGTAAAATACGAGTCAGTTTCAGTCAAGCTCTGAAGAAGCCAACAGGATGATTGGCGAAACGTCAGCAAAAATCGACGCAGGAGGAATCCAGAAGTTTTACAAAAAGTATTACAGTAGCCTGTGGAAGTTTCTTTGAAAAATTTACTGTTACTATTACGGACATTATCATGTGAATATGTACGATTTAGTTTTAATCAGCTAAAATAGCAACCACTAAAGGCAGCAACACCAACCTTCTGTCTTTTAGTTTTCTCTTTTTCTTCTTGGAACTTTTTTCATTATCGGATGGCGGCTCCGGTTCCGGACTAGGCGTTCTGACCAGTTCGTAGCGGGCTGCCTGTTCTTTTTCTTTCTCTCTCTCCAACGCTTTCTGCTTCTCCCTATCTTGGATCGCAGCGCTGGCAGCCAACTTCTCTTTCGCTTCCCTGTCAGGATCGAAGCTGCTTCCTTCCACGAAATATTCCGATATTCCAAACGCCTCTCTCAGTCGCGCATTTTTTTCTTGCTGGGCGGCCGCCACTTGATGCGTTTCCGTCACACTGCAAAAGAACACAATCGTTATCGTTACCTTTAGTATGAAATATTATCAATATTAAAAACAAAACAAAAGTATTGTTTGTTTGAAGGCAAATATTCACAAAATGAGATATTTGAGATTTCCTATTAGGTAGCGTTATAGGAAAGTAAAAAAAAAGATATATTATCCTTAATATTGTGAGGATCGACCTGATGAACGTGCTGGCCTGACCCTGTATGAGTCCAAAAGAAAATCGAAAATACGTGTATGACCACCTCTCGAGCATGGTGAACTGTTCCACCACAGAATCAAAATAAAAGTTATGTTGGGCAAGAATTACTTAAGTGCCATCCCAACCCGACCTATTTTGCGAGCAGGCACTGCGTTCCATAAAAGCGGGCGCCGCTCTCGTTAGTCAGTTAGTCGAAAAGAGAACCCGGAGCGCGGAAATACTAATAATCTCCGGATATAAATAGAGACATAATATAAATTATATATCGTGTATAGTAAATAGTAATATCTAGTTAGTGACTGTTATTTTGGACGAAATAAATTTTACCCAGAATGACTTGTTTAATTTCGGTGTCACCTTTATCAAGTTAAAAAAGTAACAATACAAATATACTATAATAATTGCAATAATAATAAATTATAATAAATACAAATAAAAAAAAATTAGGTGTTCACTGCTGGCACAGTCTAGCTTAGAGATACTGTACTGAATCAGTAAGTACACTGTAGATTAGGTAGTAAATTTTAAATAAAAATGGCATGCACATACTTAAAAAATATAATTTTAGGAAAGAATAACCTGGGTAAACAATAGTCACTAACTTGCACTAATAAGCTAAATCACAAAAATTTACATTACATACAATTATTTAGTTATCAAGGAAAGTACTGTATAGTTTGTTGTATATAAAGTAAATATTTTTTAAATTTAAATTTGAAATTTTCAACACTTAAGTTTAATAAATCAAATGGCAACGCTGCATTACAAGCAAACGAACGCTGAACATGGAACTCTGATGGGGTGGAACCGGCAATTTAATCCTATACTTCATTTGAACATTGAACATTATGAACGTTCTGACGAAATAGCAATCCCTGAATGAATCGTAGTTTTCGTTTTTACTAACTTTATATAAAATTCATGCTCGTTGTATAGGTGGGATACATGATCATACTTTCTAAAGTCATATATACATCGTATACAGAAATTTTTGATTCTTTGTAATAATTTTCTGCTCTCCAGATCGAGGCAAAAACCTTAAACATAATCATTGTAAATAAAATGTGACAATACTAAGGTTTCACACAAACTTTTCCTGCTTTAATAAAATATAGTTTTAATAAATTAAAATATGTCGGTTGGTGTAAAGCATTTTTAGAAACAAAAAAGTTCTTTGCAATATAACCTGTAGGTGTTGCCTAAACCCAAGATTACTATCGATTACTACTCTCATCAACGAAACCAATGTTAGTATCGCCTATAGAGATTTGAACATTGCTTTTAAGTTGCGTTTTTGAGAAACATCACTTAGTATTTGTAAATCTAATAGCCCCCAAGAAACATTCCGCATCAAAAGAAAAATAAATTTGAGTATCATCAGCTAATACTTTTACAAGATCGCAGTGACTTAAGAATATCTGACGCATTAACGATAAAGAGTAAGCGTCCTAAGATAGAAGCTTGTGGAAACGTATCGTCTAAATAGGAACTTATAAGAAGGTAAGCTACTTAAGACGCCGACGTTCTGACAAGATGCACGTTATGGAGGAAGAAAAAGTACTAACAACTTATATTAAAATATACAACGTACTTACAAATTCAGTATCAAAATTTTAGTATCACAACTCATGGGAAATTTTTTATTTATAAGGGAGCCAAATTTTTAAGTGACTGACCTAGGTGTAACCTAAAAGTACATCTTGACATCAGACATTTCGTAAATGTTGCGTTTGTGAGACAGGGTATTTTGGATATTGGCTGATCTATACAATATTAGGTTTTTGATTAGTTACACAAATTAAAACAAAATTAACAAATATAGGATTAAATATGAACCAAATATAAATAATGTACTGATAACTACTTGAAATAAAACGAGTTCGCTCATGCAAATAAATTACAAACGATTAAAAAGTTTCTCAACAAAAATTTCATTTTGTATTTTAGACTTAGCTCTTTTGATTTTCATAAAAAACGAAATGGGGTTGTGTATTCTAGGATCTTAGCAAATGCAAACTACGCATTGCAACTATTATTACACTTTTTTGAATTCCTAAAAAAATATTCATCGTAAGAAGTTTTAATGGAAATGTTTTTATACACTTTTGAATTCAGGAAATGATGCCACATATAATAGAATATATTTTCCATGTTTGTTTTTGTTTTTGGCCAGGACAACCATAAAGGTACTGAGTTTAATATGTTGCCTACAGGTCACACGAGGTTGTAATTTAAAATAATTAGTTGTAGCTCCAAATGCTTTTTTAACACACACAGATTTATTAATTTGAAAAGGAAGAAATTGCTGCTATTTAAAATTAAGACCCTAAAAATTATACACTGCAGTGGTGAAAAAAAAAAGCATATTCGAATAAATGCGCTTTAAAACTTTACAGAAGGCGAGCGATAACCAAACTTTCTTAATAAGGCTAATCAGAAAAATCTATTGGTCACATATCAGAATTGTTATCGCAAACTGATTATAAAACGTTACACCGCATTTTTTTTAAGTTTTACTTAAAAATCAAATTATTATTTATATGTGTAACACAAAATTAAATTAAATCAATCTTTACAAAAATTAAGATCTCTAGTTGTTTAGTAAAAGAATTAAAATCAAGCAAGATAATTATTGCAAAAAGCAAAACTGAAAATTTGAATTTTATGTAATATGAGAACTTGTTGTTTAAAAATATCCCATCAAAATTCTTTTCGCATGCCACTCGTAAACATTTAAAAAATACATTGCTCAAAAATGACTTTTGATCTGTACCAAAATTTAACAAAAAAATGTAGTTTAATAATGAAATAATAAAGGGTGATCTGGTGATCTGGACGGAGAGTTCTAGAGTTTTTTAACCTTTTTGAACTAAATAAAGCCAAGGACGTGTCCACTTTTCCTAAAATCAATCAATCAATCAATCATGAAAGAAGGGATTCGATTAACTTTTGATACAAAATACGAAATAGTGAGAAAACCGTTCGAAAAGGGTGTAAGGGAAAGAAAGGGGTGATTTCGTTCTAACTGAAACTTTTATACTTTTACTAAGATTTTAAAACTACACTTTCTGACTTTTTGAATGCACATTATTCATCGATTTTACTATAAAAATAAAAACCTGAGAGGATTTCACTATAACTTCAAAGCGCCAACAACGAGGAACAAATTTCAAATTTTCCGTTTCACGGTACTGACTCATTTATCCATAAAATGAATTAGAGTTCTAAATTCATATAAACTCTTTGTACCACAAATTTCATCAACTCTATATTCGCAATCAGATGACGTACTTTCAACATGATTCACTGGACGTTTCATATATCTCAAGGTAGATGGCGCTCGAGTGATATAAATTTAAATTCGAAAATTCGTTAAATTTTAAAGAGAAAACCGGAATTCAGTGTCAACTTAAAATATTAACCAAAAAAGTGTTATCTTTTTTAGTTTGAACATAGAAATAAGAAATTATGACGTAATTGCGACAAAAGAATTAAAAATTTATCGATAAATTTTAGAAATTATGTTATATGTTCATGATTATAAATTTACATACATACTATTTACAAATCTTCTGGATTTCTCCTGCGACAATTGTTGATGAATTGAGCTTGCTGACGTTTTGAAAATCATCCTGTTGGGTTCTTCAGAGCTTAACCGAAACTCTTCAGCTCAGTTAAGCTCTGAAGAAGCCAACAGGATGATTGGCGAAACGTCAGCAAGTTCGACTCAGCAAAAACCGACGCAGGAGGAATCCAGAAGTTTTGTAAATAGTATTGTGGAAGTTTCTTTAAAAAATATAAGAAAAAAAATCACAGAATTAGATTGTAAAGGCGTCACATTTGAAAATGGCCAAAGGAGCATTGTTCAAAGCGATGTTAAATATTTCAAAATTTTTAAATTACCCAAAAAAAAAGTAATAGGAAAGAAACTTGCCATGAAATTATCTCAACAATAAAAATATAAAATAATGTATAATAAATTCAAACAAACAGATATGTATTTAAAACTTTTATATAAAATAAAATATTATGGAGATATATTTTATATGGGGTAAATACACTTTTGCATGAAGTTTAGGCACTTAATTAAATTATCCGAACACTAAAACTAAATTTTTTCTTTGAAAATAGCAATTTAATGCGACTTCAATATAGAATATAACTTGTGAATACTTTGTGAGCGACAATTTTAGTAATTAAAATCGCATAAAAAATCTTACTCTTCTTTAAATTCTTTTTCATGATTGTAGCACACCATTTCTCCTCCGCGAACGTTCGCATATCAAACACTATAAAACATAACATAAAATTTACGTTTGCACCGACATCCCGTAACCCTATAAATCCACTGTTAAAAAAAAATCAGTAACACTTAGAACGCATGGAGTCTCACAAAAAAATCTTTTGTATAATCCAAGGCACTAACGTAAAATGGAGCGGCGTCGTAATAGAAGCGTGGGGTTGGCACGCGACGTTGATCAATATTCACCCGCGTAGTGGTGGTGGAAACTGAGAAATCGAAAACCGAGGGGAAGGCAAAGTAGGGAAACCCTGTTGTAACCGGAACAATGAGTCATAATCATAGGACGCGAAGTTGGATTTTTGATTAAAGTATATTTAAGAAATGTGTAGAGTAATAATTCTCCATTAGGTACGCAAATGAACTAAAAAGTGAATCAACGAATTCTTCATGGCTTTGCAACATTCTTCATTAATTGAACTGAGGTGGCTTTTACTTGAAAAGCCATTTAAAGAAATAAATAAGAACTAAAAGTTCAGATTTTCACGAA